TTGGCCTCCTCTTATTCAAGACAAGGGTTTTTATTTTATTTTCCTTCTTTTGCCCAATCCCTCCTTTCTCTTAATATTCTATTTTTATATTTATTTTATTCTATTGTTATATTTAAATTTAGGTTAGCTTAGTGTTACATTATCATGACTGATCAATGTTATTCATTCTAGTAAAACCACAATTACATTTTTTTCCTGCACAGTTGTCACTTTTTTACCAAACAGCTAATAATTGTCATCTTACTTCATTTGCCTTATCTTCTATATATTTATCACTAACTACCCCAAACTTTGCCCCAGCTTGTGGGTTATTCTATCAGTCATGTCTTTCTGTAGTGAGCCTTCCTGAACCTTCTGGCCTGACCTGCCTTCATGCTTGTCTGGAGGGTTCTCTTATCCACTCTCCTGAGTTGTAGCCCCTATTTTCTGGCATCTTTTTAAAAACTCCTTTGTTTGTTGAAGCAAAATCTTAATAAAGTTCAAGTCTAGTCTCATCCATTATTTTGAGGGGGCTCCCTTTTTGTCTGAAAATGCCCATTCTTTTGCTCTGATCAACTTTATTTTTAGGTAATTATTTGCTCTGCTCTGTTTTTTCTGTACTCTCTGGAAAGCCCATTATACTGACCTCTTGAGGCCATCTTCTGATTTTTTATCTTCTTTCTGGTTTTTTCATGTTTACAGGTTTTTGTTCTACTTTCTGGGACATTTCCTCAACTTTATCCTTAAAATCAGCTCTTGAACTTTTAATTTCTGAATTGTGTTTAATATCTAAAGTCTTTTTAATTTTTGTTGTTGTTATATAATACCTTGTTTTTGTTTCTTTGATATCTTTCCTTATGTTTCTGAAGATATTAATGGTGGTGCATGTGAGTTTATGGTGTGTTTTTTTTAATTATCTTTCTTGATTGATCTATTTCCTTCAAGTTGCTGTTTTTCAATTTCTTTGTTGTGATTTCTGTCTTTCATATCTGTGGTTTTGCTCACATGTCTGTCTGGTAATCTTGGTTTTCTGCTCATGTTTAAAAACTGAATTGGGGATTCCTGAAAACATGGAGCTTGTTGACTGTGTCACTATAGGGAGACTTGGACATTTAGTGGAGAACCTCTGACAACCGGAGAAGAGTTCCCAGTCTCCTCCCTGCAAGGAGACAAGCCTTCCAGCCATCTCCCTAGGCCACCAGGCAACCCCAACATATAGCTTACATAGTTCATCCTTCCCTGATTTCAGCACTGTGACCCCAACCTTCAATTCTGGGGCCTTCTTCTCCAGAAAGGGTGAGGCAGCTGCCAAGTGCTGTGGTATCTCAGAGGTGACTGGGCATCAAACTATGTCTCCAAAAGAGCTATAATCAGCTCACACTTCCTAAACATTTGGGGGCTTCTGCAGGTGTAAATTGGGTTAATTCTTGGCTTTGCCATTGCTGGCTTTGGAGTCTGTTTTCTGGGGCTCCTGCTAAGTTCTTAAACAACTCATTCATCTGCTGCCCACTTTCCAGGATTTGGTTCCTCTTTTCTCTCTTGTTCTTTTAGCCCTTATGGGTTTATCCTTTTTTAAAAAAGAATCTTGGAAGGAGCAAAAGTATGTACAAATGACCATCTTTATCCAGAACCTAATAATTCTCCAGAACAAGTTGTCATTTGCTAAATTTTAGCCTCTGGTAATCTATCTTTATATCTGTGTCCTAATGAAATAGTGTTTTTAAAAATAATTTCTGAAAGCTTTGTGATTTTCAGGTTGCTACAGGTAGCTGTGTCTTTTCAACTGGGTGTACCCAGTGACTGGTGTTCCTTAAAGGGGTTCCTAGTTGGAAATCTTAATAGCACCTAATCTTGCCTTAATGTGCTTAAGTCTTCTATTCTTCAGTGCTTTTTAATGCTTATTAGAAGCCAACAATTTATTTTAAAAATTGAATTATACAAGATTCCTGCTCAGTGAGCTGTTGATCTAAATTAGTGGTTAGCAATCCCTATTAATTAGTTATATCCTTTACTCCCTGTCAACGTATCATCATTTCATGAACATGGAATTCTGCTTTGAATCATAACATTACTTGTTAGGACAAGTTAGCTGTTACCTTCTACTTGTTAATACAAGTGTTTCATATATTGTTGTAACTGAATGGTTTTTGGCCTTTAGCCGAAACTTTTGCTTACTGCCCTCATGTAGATCTAGTGGAAATTAGAAAGTGGTTTTTGCCAACTCAGTTCTGCTTTGAGCCATTTTCTGGTTGCAGCTGATTATTCGGTGCAGCTGTATTAATCATTGAGGCAGTGACATTCCCTTAGAGATGGTTGGACTGTACATACCCTTTGCAAAGTGGCAACCCAGCAGGCAGCATTCAGACATAGAAAGCCTGCGTGCTGGGAGCTCATATCCACAGGTGCCCAGGAAGCCTCAAACTCAGGTCTAACTTGCAGATTCCTTCCTTCAGTCTTTTCCATTTCAGTTGCTGTTACAAATTTCACATGTTAGCATATGACTGTGGAGCAATAAAAGAGAATCAGCAGTAGAGAGGAAAATTAATGCTGGTCCAACGATGCAAGCTGTTGGTGTGAGAGGAGATTTAGTTGAGGGGGAGGCTATACCATTAACTCACCCCCTAAGCCTGTGGCCTCCAGGCCAAACCCCACTTGAGGCCTGATTTTTGCTGTCCTCTATGGAGATTTTTATAGTTCTAGGGTAGTTAAAATATGTATATATATATATATATGATGCGAAGTAAGAAGAGAAAGAAAAGGAGGAAGAAGAATAGAAAGCAGAAGAAGGAGAGAAAGGAAGAAAGCTCAACAGAGGCTATATGTATGTGAGCTATAAAGCCTCAAATATTGACTTTTTGGCTCTTTACAGAAACAGTATGCCCACCCCTAGTCTAGATACCATGGCTTAGCCTCATCCCTTTCCTGTCCCTCTCTTACACTCCTTCCCCAGTCATGGAATGTTCTCCAAGTTTTCCTAAGGCTTTAGCAACTTAAATATGTATGTGTGTTCGTGTGTGGTTTCCAAAAAATTTAATTCTAGACAGATCTGAGTCATCAGCTCTCAAGTGTGTGGCATCGAAGCAGATTTACCAACATAAAGGCTGGCGTTAGATATATGAGTGCACATTAAGTCAGCATGATAGACTACGTGCCTAGCTACAATGGGGGGAAAAAAGCAAAATTATGAACAGTATTTTTATAAACCCTTTGGGCTTATTTGGAAATACTTTCAGAAAGATAGATGTTGAACTTGTTTCTCTTTGTAAGTATAAAATGTAAATAAAATTAAAGCATGCTTTTATGATACAAATATCTTATTTACTAAAAGCCTAACCAAAGAAAAAGTTTCACTTAAACAATTACCTTTGGAATTAGATAAGTATTTTTTTTTAAAATTATGGCTTTACCAATTATTCTTCCTCACTATGGATATTAGCCAAAATGTGGTCTTTGTCCATCAGAGATGTGCAGGTTCCTCATCACTGTAGGCTTTCTCACTTCACAGTGTTTTCCTTGACATGCTCTAAGTTTAAGGCATCCACATACCATTTCCAGGTGAATTTTCCAAAACCTTTGCTCTGATTCTGCCAGATCAGTCTGATCAACAGTAAGAGATGAAAACAAACAAGTAAGGTATCAAACATTCCTTTTTTTAGTCAATTAATATAAAAGTTCTGGGAAATGCAGGTGGCCCAGTGTCACAGTGCTCCATACATTGTGCTATAACTCTCTGTGCTGTGGGATGTTCTCATGGTTGTCTTGAGTGCATTGAAATTTAGCATACTGGTAACCTCATTACTTCTCCAATGATGAAATGGTATCCCTGTGCTGCCAAAGAGTTAATTGAGAATAGGATATTCAGATGATTGCTCAGAAATGAAGCTGTGAGGCCAGCTTCTGTCTCTAATACCCAACCTGTGTCCAAAATACAACTGTGGCCAACATGGAACATTCATCATTGAGTAATTAACTTAATGCTCTATTCTTTTCTTTACTCCCCACTGTGACTCTGATCCAGGCCCACTGAATCCTGTTATCATAGGATTCATCTTCATCTGATAAAGAAAACTAGCTCTGGGGATAAGCATTAAAATCAAACATTACTTTGTAATGTCTTTCCCTTCTTTGCCAAATGGTTCATTTATAAGGATAATTCAAATTATATAGTATTTTCTGTTTGGGTATTAGATTTTTGAAATCCAGAAGTCAACATTAAGCCAGTGGCTTTATTTCTTTAAAAAGCAGGAACCTAGCATGAAATTCCAGTGAAAAGCTGGTCTTCAAGCTCATGAGCACATCCTGTGCATTGTGCAGTGTAGACCTGAGGGGCCACTGTCGGAATCCTTAACTGTGGCAACTGTAGGTGTTTAAGGAAGGAATAACAGCATAGCTGAATTAAAGGAGGCAGAGAGATGCTAATATACCCTCTCTTAGCAGGAAGTAAACCAATTAGTTGTGCACTTTTTGGAGATTTAATCGTGAGATGTATTGAGGCCCACTGCTGACTATGTAGAGCAAGGGAATTCATATTTAATACAGAGGTGAAAGGAATGGTTAATTAGGTATTAAACTTATTCCATACTGGAGTGCATTGACTTTATAGTAAATATCCATAAAACTACAAAAATTTAAAAAAGGGGGGAACAGGAGAAATTAATTAATTCATAATAATTGACTTAATCAGGAATAGTCTAAAGAAGTTAAAAATATTTAAATTCCCTGAAAGTTGCCCAGTTCCTTATTTTGAAAATCTGGTCATTTCTAAAGTCTTGCTTCTGAACCCATCATGATTTTCTTAAAAAGAAACGGGGCGGGAGGAAGCCCTACCCTTTCTAAAGGGATCTGAAAAGGCTCTGAAAGTCACTGTTCCCTAATAACATGGTTAACTGCAGCCTGGGCTCCTGTCATTAATGAGCTTACCTACTACTGCAAGGAAAAGGCTGGGCCGGCCTGAGGGATCACAGTGTGGCCAAATGCTCCCAAGCAATTAAAGGCTGATTAAGTGTTTATCTTCTTTACAGGTGGGAAGGAAAGAATGAAAATGAAGTGGGCAGATGTAAAGAGACTGGCAAAGTTCATGTGACTGTGGACCTCAAATACTACCGACCAACTGAAGTGGTAAGGTTTCCTGGCCACCCTGTGTGTGGCCACACTTGGCTGCTGTCTGGGAAAATGCTCACTGGATGCCAAAGCCAACCTTCAAGCTCCCCATCAGGCTATCTGGTGTCTTTTAGTGGGCATGTTCCAAACCAGAGACCAGTGAATTGAATTTGAGATGTTGTTCTCATCACAAAATCCATTGCTTTAAAAAGGAAAGCAGGGGTAAAACACACCCAAGGAAATGGTGAGTCTACGGAAACAGACTCGTATCAATGACAGCTGTCATTGTGTTAGTCCCCTGCTTTGGTGGCTGATCCCAGGTACCTACAGGATGTCTGACTTTCAGGGCCCTCCATGGCCTGTAGGGTCTCAAGGTCTGGAAGGCTGCCTGCCTCCTCAGTGTACACAGGCACATGCACACACGCATACTCATGTGCACACACAAACGTAAGCCATAAGTGGTCTCCCTGAACATTAACACGCAGCTCAAGTACTGTCTTTCTTTGATTTGTTTTCTAGACAACATACTACACTGCTGATGTCTCTATTCCTTCCTTCTTATCTATAGTATATGTGATCCATAATTATATTCTAACATCTATTACAAATTATTATATTCATTTGTTTACATGTTTTTCTCCCTTTACAAAGCTGCAAACTCAGGATAAGAACTTTTTAAAATATTTTCCACTGTAACAAAGTGTGTGCTTAATAAATGTTGATTGATGTGTAGATGCATGGATAGATTTCTAAACATCAAGATTTCTGTGTCAGGAAATGACCTGTAGATTATTAGATCATCCTCCTTTCCTAAATTTATAGAACCTTTTAGTGTGGTGTTGTCGCTTTAGCACTTTAAAATAGTCCACCCTTCCATGGTGACCAAAACTCAACATGTTACATATACCTAAAGATAACAGAAATGGCATATCCAGAGAGAAATGTTCAGACATGATGGTTACCTAGTGACATACCCATTAACTGTGAAAATGGAATCCTGTGAACCTGTTTTACCTGTGTTTTGAACCAAATTCCTGTGTGTTGGACAACCCCTCAGAGATTAGGAAAACCCCAGTGAAGAGAGACTGAAAGTGCCTATGTCATCAGTAACCACCCTTTAAAATGTCTTGTTTCAAACAAAAGAAAAAAAAAGTCTTGCACCCTGCACCCAGGAGGAAGTGAAAAGGAAAGATTAAGTAAGCAGTGCGCAAAGACAGGGCTGTAGAGTGGAAGCTTTGTCCTGGCATGGGCGTGGCAGGGCCTCTGGCAGTAGGAACAAAGACTCCCTGTGCTGATGCGGGCGGGTATGCCTAGGAGAGGACAGAGGACTTGCTCTGTCTCTGAGGGAGAAAGATTCTAGCACACCCTGCTGACATAGCACTGAGTTCCCTGTGGAGCCCCTAGCCATACTGGCGTTGTTTCCCTGTCCTAAGAGGTGCCACAAGGTGTCAGTTTTCTGGAACTTTGCACAGATAACATAAACAGGCAAAGCTGTTTCTATGCTAACAGAATTTGTCACCTCAGAGTGGAAAATTTACTGAGCCAACAGAAAGCTCAATCCTTATAACAATTTTACATGGCTCTTTCTCTCTCTGACACCAAAATAGTTTCAGAAGCTCGGAAGTCATTAAGAATGGCCTGTCTGTCATTCTCACTTGGCAAGGCATGGGATTGATAAGAACACATAACAAAAGAATTTGCTGAACAGGAAAAGGACCCTTGGACTAACAAGACAGTTCTTGAAGTCTGTCCTGTCAACCCCTCTTTCCTGTCCTGATGCTACATCCCTCCCCCTTTCTTTGTTCATTCAAATGTCATTATCATACCTGTTCTGCAACTCCATTCACACTAATGCTGTGTGAGCATAAGAGTGGTGTCTTATTTCCTGTGCCCCCTTTATTTGCTTGTTGATCTAGCTCCCATCCCAATGCTCTCATTTACTGCTTAAATTTTGATGTTAACCTGCATGTCATCTTTCTTAGCCTTTAAGCTGCATTAATTTTGTTCACTCCATTTCAACTAGGTATTCTATTGGGCAAGCTTCTCTTGTAAGGGGAGACTAAACTTTTAACTTCATTCCTCAGAACAAGGAGTTTTCCCAAAACTGGGATCAATTCTACAGCCTTTTGTTGAATTGCCTTGGGGGTAATAGGATTCCTCCAGTGGAAAGGTGACCAGAACTGAGCACTGACTTGTAAATGAGCTCTCAGTTACCTTAGGTGTGGGCCTTAATAGCCAACACATTTAGAGAGTCACTGGGCATGAGTCCTGGAAAGTGCCAAGCTCCTCTGAGGTGCAGCAGCACTTGGTGTAGTGCAGAATGGAGTTCTCCCACATCTGCACTGTGTCCTTCCCACTCAGTGTCGAAGTTCTTCTCACCAGTTCCAAGGCTCCATGCATTCATCCTCTGTAAAAGCGTGTCCTCCTGATGAGTTTAATCGTGTGTATCCCAAGGTCTTCAGCGCACAAGGAACTCCAAAGCCCAGGGTGTAAACTTGATCTCCTTACCATCCAACGGTTCCAAAATGACTGATAGGAAAAAAAAGAGAGAGAGAGAGAGAGAGAACATTTGAAAAGAAAAAAGTGAGGGACATATCAGGTCTCAGAACACCAGTAACCTAAAGCAAGACTAAAGGGACATAGTGCTTTAGGTTGTTTTTTGAATAAGATGCAGACTAGTCCTGGGAAAGGCTCTTTTCCTCCTGGAGGCCAGGAGAGTCTATAGCAGTGATGGCGAACCTTTTGAGCTCGGCGTGTCAGCATTTTGAAAAACCCTAACTTAACTCTGGTGCCGTGTCACATATAGAAATTTTTTGATATTTGCAACCATAGTAAAACAAAGGCTTATATTTTTGATATTTATTTTATATATTTTAATGCCATTTAACAAAGAAAAATCAACCAAAAAAATGAGTTCACGTGCCACCTCTGACACGCATGTCATAGGTTCGCCATCACTGGTCTATAGAGCATGTTCACACAGCGCCAGGAACGTCTGTCCTCATCGGTGCCTCTGCAGAAACTTCAATCCTGCTTATGTACCAATATGAAATGAAGGCTTTTGTTCTGAGCTGAGGACTCTGGCATCCAATTAGAACTGAATAGAGTCATGTTTTTGCTTCTTATAAACCTCTGGGTTTCCTTTGAACATTTAGGAATATTGCTACTGTGGAGAGCTTAATCCTGAAAATTAGACTTTAAATTTCCCATTGCCCTGAATTCCAGTATTTGGTGATGGCATTATCAATTTTAAGTTCTGTCCTCTTAAAACTCCTGTCTCTTATAGAGTTTTCTATATGTGGATACATTTACACCTAGATTCATTGCATTGTGCATTTATTTGTAGAGAAGTAGGGTTGTGGTTAGGTGCGGGCCCCAGGGCCAACTGCAGCAGTTCAGAAACTGTCAATCACTAGCTGTGTACCCTTAGGCAAGTCACTTCTCAGTGCTTCTGTCTTTAAAAATGGGTTTGATAATAGAACTTCTTCTAAAGAATTGTTGAAAATTAACATACCAATATACAAAATGCTCATTAGAACAGTATCTGGCACACAGTAAAATACCCAATATTGATGTATTTTTTTAATTTATTGATTTGAGAGAGAGAGGTAGAGAAAGAGAGAACATTGTCTTGTTGTTCCACCCATCTATACATTCATTGGTTGATTCTTGTATGTTCCCTGACCCGTGATTGAACCTGTAACCTTTGGGTATTGGGGTGATGCTCTAACCACCTGAGCTACCCAGCCAGGTCTGATGCTGTTATTGTTATTCATTTATTCATTATTTACCAAATACTGTGTTAGACCCTGGGAATATGGTATAAATAAGACAGACACATCCCCTGTTCTTGTGGAGACTGTAGATATAGAGGTCTCTATCAGTTACTTAAACCTAGTACCTTTTGAAAAGTAGAATGGCATCATTGGTGAATTATATAGATTAACCAATAAAAGCTAGGTAACAAGGTATAATCAAAGCTACTAGAAAATGTTAATAGGTACTTTGATTTATTTTATTCTTGTTTTATCTTGATTTCTGTCCTTTCTGATCTTTTTTCAGAAGATTAAGTAGATGTTCAGTGGTATGGGAGTAATGAAAATATAAAAACATTGATATTGACCTATTACTTACTTTAATCACAAAGGTATCTTCCTCTTGTTTGAGAATGTTTAACTTGGAGAATTTAAAAAGGCTGAGTTAGTAAAGTATTCAGCCTAGTGTGCCAAATTTGTAACCACATCAAATGCTCAATCCACTTTTTTAAAAAAATCTTTTTTTCCCTACAGAGCATTTTAGGAAATGGCATGGGGGACACAGTCACAGACTAAAAGTGAAATTGCGTATTTTTTCATAAAAAGTATCTTAACTGAAATTCTAGTAGATGATGCGAACTACATTTTTTCTTGCTATATTATTTGCCTTCCACATTCATTTTTCTTGTCGTTGTATTTCTAATGTCCTCAATTGTGATTGGTTTTATTTTATTTACTTAGATACTTCATGTTTATTCCCTTTATAGATATTAGAAAAAAACATGAATTCAAATCTAGACTTGAGAAAACAATAACTTTAATAACAAGCTAGTTAGACTAGCACCTTCCTTCAGTAAAAACTTGTGTCCTGTTTCTAATCAAATTACCATATGCTTGTCCATTTGTCCCCTCTGCATACTTTTCCTAATGTTTTTCTGTAAATGATGTTAAGTTCACTGGCCCATAGTTGCTTGCTTTGTCTCATAGCCCTGGTTAGAATAATGTCACATAACACTTTCCAGACCTCAGGAACCTGATCTGTCATCAGAGGACCTATATAAATACCAGTGAGAGCTTCCCTCAGTTCCATCTCTGTGTATTGGGGTCCTGAAACTGTCCCCTTTGACTCCCTGCTCTCACCACATTCTCACACTTACCCACATGTAGCAAGAAATTAGATCCTCTCTACTCCATCCCTTCATCTTCCCCAGCTCTGCAAGAAGCCAGCTGATCTCTCCCTGTCCTGATTCTTCTGACCTCTAA